TTCTTTAATTCCTTTTCATAAGTTGGAAGCTTAGCTGGGGGGTGGGAGGGGGAACTTGGTCTGAGGTCACCACTCCCTGTTTACACGATCTGTCCCCCTTTTCTCCACAAAATATAGGTTGTGTATTTTTCCTTGCTCAGCTTGCTCCCTTTCATTAGAGGTCTGCATAGGACTAACCACTAAAAGCACACAGCACAGTCAATACTAGGCTGCTTTGATTTCCTCTGCCAAAGATGTTAAATTTAGCTTCAGGCAGAATTTTTGGACAAGGGCACAAAACAGCCACATTCTTCACCAAAATATCACCAGAGCCATCTCTAGGGCACATACTAAAATTCTTCTGCTCTGGCCCCTCTTGAGCAGGGCTCCCCCAGTCTAAATCTCCCTCAGCAGCACTGTTTCCCACACCCCTTAGAGTACTCAACTGCTTTTCCAACCCACAGTCTCAGTGTGTTCCATATTCCTCCAAACAAACACATGATCAGGCCTTTTACTGAAATACCCCAGTCTTTGGTATCAACCTCTGTCTTAGGGTTTCTATTGCTGTGAAAGGATGCATGACCATGCAGACCAAGCATTCAAACCTATGAGCCACTGAAGGCCATTCCTATTCAAACCACTACAGCTGTTGCCAAGGCTACTGGTTGCTGTCCACAAACTGATAAGGTTCTATTTCTGAAGACAATTACACATGTCACTGAACACAGAGAAGTCAAATGGGAGTGCCTAAACAGAGCCTTCATCCCTACTGGCTAGTGTTCATGGTAAACACCAACCCAGTCCCCAAACCTCTAATAATCAGTGATGGGCTGCCTGTATGAAATGCTGGTGCAATAGTGGCACCAATGTTGCAGGATTTAAGGCCCATTACACAAGATTGAGCCCAGGTCTAACAATCTTCGGGTGAATAAAGCCTGAAACAAGATAGGCCATGAGCCTAGAAGAAAACCAAACACTATTGTTCTGCTGAAGGAACATTGGCAAAAACTAGCTGCTAATTACATTCTGCAATAGCTGTAGATCTCTCTCAGCCACCATCTAAGAAGCTTCCTCCTGTGGCAGATGGGAACTAATATAGAAACCCACAACAGGGGTTTCTGAGAGTAAGAGACTTTGGAACACTGGGTCCTAAATGGGATGTCTTCATCAGTCCCCTCTCCTCAGGGTTCAGGGAACTATGTGGAAGAGGAGACAGGAAGATGGATAAGGAGCCAGAGGAGATGGATAAGGAAAATGGCTTTCAGACCCAAAGGAGAAATGCACATCTGAGCTGACAAAGACTGACAGCATGCACAGGGCCTGCATGGTCCAAGCCAGATGTCACCCTAGTACTAAGAGAGGGATGGGTAGACAGAAATCCCTATCCTTAACCAAGAAGCTATTCCCAGTTGATAATCACTTGCAGAAGAAACATTAGTTTTCTCTAGTGGAGTTTCATTGGGCATATAAACACACTTAAAGGCAAGCCCATGCCCAGCAGTAGATGTCCAACATAAAACAAATTCAGTGGTTTTATTAGAGTTCTCTAGAGTAACAGAACTTATAGAATGAATTACCCCCTCCGTGTGTGTGTGTGTGTGTGAGTGTGTGTGTGTGTGTTTTGTGGGTTTTTTTGTGCCTTTTAAATTTCTGGTTCATTTGTTTTTATTTGTCTTTTTAATTTTTAAATAAACAGAAAAAGAAAGCATGGAGAAGATGGTGGGAAGGTGGAACATTTCTGTGAGGAAATAAGAGATGGGAACTGTGATCAGAATATGTTTTATGAAAAAAAATCAGTAAAGAAAATGAAAGTGCCTTAATGTTTTCTAGAAAAAATACAAATAAATTTAAAAGTGAGTGGAGATATTCTGTACATCACAAGGTCATAAAGTTTAAGGCCATGGCTCAGGCTGGCTGAGAGGCCTAACTTGAGTCCTAGGACAGGCTGCTGGTCAGCCTGCTTCAAACCCTGATGGCCCTCTGGTTGAGCTGCCTTGTCCACTGTGGGCCAGGCTTGGGACAGTGCCTGACATGTCAGGACTTTAGGGTGGCCATCCCTGAGCATTGTAACATTCCCCAACAGAGTGACAGGAGGAGGGTAGCCAGGCTGGCAGTGATCCACAAGTATTCGTAAGGAACCTTCATCAGTGGAACACTGAGCTAGCAGGTTAGTCACAAAAAAAGAGGGGGAACTCAGCAACACAGGTGCACATTATCTGGGTTCAGTGAAGAAGACATTTGCAAGTTCCCAGTACTTGCCAACCTGGATTCAGAACAAGTTAAACCAGACCACTCAATGATAAGTGAAATCCCAGCGCTATCACTAGAGCCCCCTCCTGGTCTCTGTGCCAGGCAGGACCTGCTGTTTCTCCTGAGGACAATTAGCTGTGCACATAGACTGAAGCCTCAACTGTGCTGTGTGGGTCCTCCAGACTCCCCCAGCAAGTTCCAGTAAAGGTGAAGTGGCTGGATTCAGCTGCCTGAGTGACCTCTGAAGCTTCTATAATAAGCCCTAGGGTCTTCTGGCAAAAAGCTCTCTCTCTCTCTCTCTCTCTCTCTCCTCGCCCTGTCCCCCCTCCCTCCCCTTTTAGATCCTCTCCTTTTGCCTCCCTCCCCTCTCCCTCTCTGTTCCCCTCTTTCCCCCTCTACTTTCCCCATCTCTCCCTTTTCTCCCCTCCCTCTCTCCTCCTCCCTTCCCCCTTTTCCTCTTCTCAGCTCTCTCCTCTCTTGCCTATCCCATACTTCCCTGCTCTCTGCTTTCCCCTTCCGGTTTTAATCCCCCTCCACCTCTCCCTTACCAGGCCCTTTCTGAAAGAAGAGAGGAGGAAAGGAGAATGACACATAATTCCCAACCCCTCATAATTACTCAGAATTAGACTCCATGAATCCTTAGAGACAGTTTATCTATAAAACATGGATGTACCTGGAAGCCTTTGACATTTTTATGTGCCACTCTACTCTTTGTGCCTTAAGGTCTTTTAACCCAAGGCCTGCTAAGCACCTATGGTGGTTTGAATAAGAATGGCCCCCATAGGTCATAGATTTGAATGCTTGGTCTGTAGCAGTTCACACTATTAGGAGGACTTGTGTCCCTGGGGATCCACTTTGGAGTTTCAAATACTTGAACCAGGCGAGGCCCAGAGCCTGTCTGCCTGCTACCTGCAGATCTGGATGTAGCACTCTCAGCTAGCCACCAGCACCACATCTGCCTGGTGCTGCCATGCTCTCTGCCATGCCGATAATAGACTGGACCTCTGAACTGTGAGCCAGCCCCAGTTAAATGTTTTCTTTTTAAGAATTGCCGTGGTCATGGTGTCTCTTCCCAACAGTAAGATGACATCTTATCAGGAGAGTTGCACTTTTCCTCTTATTTATTTCCTTAGGGTCATGCATGAAGAAAGCATTCCAGGGACTCTGAAATTCTGACTTAAACACTAACAATGCAGCTCACAGTGAATGGCATGAAAGTGAGACACAAAGACAAGCATATCGATCTATCCTTACTGTGCCCACTTAAGTGAGCGCCTCAGATCTCAGAAACATCATCAGGCCAGGAGCGAAGAGGAAGTATAGACACTGTGAGGCACAGCATCCAGGATGGGGAGCTCACCTGGGCCCTCCAGAGCAGCTGTCATTTCTGCAACTCCGTTTCCTTAATTCTGCCATGAGTTCTCCCTGTTCCCACTTCATACATGCTGCTTTGCGACTGAATTTCTCCATTTCTGCATTTCAGCCTGTCACTTGGGTACTTCTTGGGGGCTTTTCTAAGTGTAAGGTTCTATGGGCTGTGCAGATGCTTGGACTCATGTGTAATGCCCACAGCAGTGGCATGAATACAGCAGGGACTCTCAATGCCACATGCTGTGGGTCTCTTCGTATTTAGGAAGTGGGCTTGCTCTTTCCCATCGTTTTTCTCATGCGTGAGGATTGCTACCTCTTTGGGGTCTAATGATCCTTTCACAAGGGTTGCCTAAGATCATGGAAGAACACAGATATTTACATTATAATATATAATAGTAGCAAAATTACAGTTATGAAGTAGCAATGAAAATAATTTTATGGTGGGTTGCTGCAGTATGAGGAACTGTATTGAAGAGTCACAGCATTAGGAGGGTTGAGAACCACCATCTACACTATCTCTAGCAGCTGTGTAACGTTATGTCCTCACCCTGCTTTCCTTTTCTCATTAACTCCTCCTGACATCACAAGCAGGTGGAGTGCACAGTGTTAATTTACCTAACCCACGATTCAATGCCCCAATTTAGAGGGAAGGACTCATGCTTATCCCTGTCACTAAATTGGTGCTTCACACATAGTTGACTCTTAGTAAATACTTGTTGAGTAAATTCACATAGAGAGGCTCTGAAGAACAGATGTGGAATTGAATTGGTCATTTCAAAATCCATTTATTAAAGCTTTAATACATTATTGCAGGAAGTGCGGAAGCCAGCAATCTGAAGAAGAAGGGTGCTGCTTGCCCACACATTTTCCAACTCTCTATCCAAATAATCATTTCCATTCTGAGTCCTGCAGGCCGGAGTGGGAGGGAGGATGTGCTGAGCGCTTAGATGCTGGGCCTCTGTATGCCTTGTTGAGCTGCTGAAGGAATACAAAACGCCTCTTCCATGCTGGGACACTTGGCACATTGATTACCACCTCCCCCACTCCTTAGGTTCTGATGATTCTGCAAGGCCAGATAGATACCTGTGTGAAGCCCTTGTTCAAAACTGGTCCACATAGATAGCATGGGAGGGCCAGATGCATACCGAAGCAGCTGAAATTGCTTTTGTGCTATCTGATCTCACAGGTGACCACAGAGACATGAACCTCTCAGGCTGCAGAAATGAGCAGCAAGTGTCCCACTGTAAGGAGCAGACAGGTACCTGCTTCACTCTCTTGCTTTCAGCAGACACCTACTTTTTGACAGTTCTAAGACAGTTATTCTCTCTTCTGCCTATTTCATGTGAATAAATGGGTAAAAGGCTTAGAGCCCTCTCACGTGATCCCCCTTCATTTTCTAGGAACTCCCTGGCGAAAAGAACAGACCAAGGACCTGCAGCAAGTACTAAAGGCTGTTGACCAAGACATTCCACTGGTGCTGGTCAGTGGCAACCATGATATAGGCAATGTCCCCACAGCCCAGACTATAGAGGACTTCTGCCAGACGTGGGGAGATGACTACTTCAGCTTCTGGGTAGGGGGCGTCCTGTTCATGGTGCTCAATTCCCAGTTCTTCTATGATGCCTCCAAGTGCCCTGCACTGAAGCAGGCCCAGGACCAGTGGCTGGACCAACAGCTGAGCATCGCAGGGCAGCAGAGGTGCCAGCATGTCATTGTCTTCCAGCACATCCCGCTGTTCCTGAAGAGCATAGATGAAGATGATGACTACTTCAACCTCACCAAGGCCGTGCGGAAGGAGCTGGCAGACAAGTTCACTAGAGCAGGTAATGTCTGGGGTCTGGGTGTGCCCATTGCTTTCTGTCACCTGGCAAAGTGAAGAAGGTCAGAGCTTTGGATAGGACTGGTTCTCATCCCACTCATTACTCACTAGTAGCATGGCTGTGGATAAGCTGCAAAATCTTCCTGTCCCAGTTTCCACTGGTATTGTAGGATGGTTATGAATAGTTGTTATCCTAGGAAATATTAGGATGGACCTGCCAAGCACTAACCTGACATAAATGCCCACATTTGAGGATGAATGTCTTGGAGGTCAGGGATCTTAGCAGAAGAGCCCAAAATGCAATCACATGTACCTTGGGAGGTGTGAAGAGCTGATGGAGGCAGCTTCCTTCATCTCTGTGGGAAGTATGAACTGTCTCAAGGACAGATAAGCCTTAAGAAGTGGGCATCCTACCAACTGTCCTCATGTGTCATTCAAGAAGCCTTGGCTTCAGTATATCGGCCCTGGGACTTTCATGGGTTCTCCTGTACTGGAGTACATTATGGTTCCTTCCTGATATAGACTTGTAACTTATTTGTGTGATCTACAAGTATGCAATCAAAAAATGAAGATGCCCTGTTTTTAAAGGTAAGTCTTAGCTGCTGACTCTCTCGTGCTAGAATGCCACCTCCCCCACTCCCTTAGATCTACTCCCAGGAGTCTCTAAAGAAATGGAGTGTCCTAGGTGGTTCGCCTAAGTAATCAACGGTTGTCAGGACTGTGATAGCTGCATGTGTCCTGTTCCCCCTCTCAGACTGTCCACAGCTTATTTGTATAAAACATTTGTAATATGTGAATTCTTTCATTTAGTTGTTATGGGAAGAAGCAAGGAAGGAGGTATCTCACCCAAAAGCCAAAATTTATTAGATTAAAAAAGAAAAACAACAACAACAAAAACCCACTACTCTTTTATTCATCCTCCAGTGTTCAGTGTGTCTTGATTTACTTGTGAAAGTCCAATAGGCCCTTCTGTGCTTCTGAGAATTTTTACAAAAAGCTTTCATAATGAGAGACATTTTCCAACTGTTCCATGGAGCTGAGGTTGGGAAACTTCTACTAAAGGGCTTTGAAATTTTATTCCATGCTTGAGTTGGTGTGGAAAATATTTTTGATGCCAAGGAAGCATAGTGCCGAGATGGCATCCACTCCACCATGGAGACTGTTTTTGCAACAGTGAATCAAGCCAGTGGAATATTCAGTGGCACTGAAACCAGTCCTTTCACAACAAATAACAACTGATGCAAACACAGTCCCCTTCCTGCTCTCTGTTCTTCATTCTGTCAACATTCTCAAGTGGCATGTGGGTCTGGGCTGCCCATCCCAGGACAGGGCACATGCTATGTGTGAGAATGCCCCGATGCTGAGTACCCACAGTGTTAACAGGGCACCCTTGGAGAAAATGTGGTAACTGGCCACCCAGGGCACACAGGGCCTTGCATGTGGGATACAGCAGCTCTAATAGGCTCTGGAACCAGGTTTCTTGTTAGCACATCCACCCAGGGATGTGTATGCCTCTAAGGTGGATCTCACAGCTCCATCTTGCAAAGGTTGGTATCTACAGCCAGGAGACTGGTCGGTGCCTTTCAGCAGGACAGTCCCTGGCCATGGAGCCCTTGCCATAGGCAGAGCTAAATGGGAAGCCAAATTATAATCTGAAAGTTGCTTTGTAAGCATATGGCAGAGCAAGAGTTCACCTTCCTTTTCTATTCTTGGTGGGTATCAGACCCTGGCATCCTGAGGGCTCTGAGTCCAAGACTGTAGCAAGACTGTGTTCATTTGTGGGGCCTCCTTCATATTGAAGCAGCTACATAGCCAGGCCCTCAGTACCCTCTCCTACCCCAGCACAAGGTCCAGCTCCTCAGCTTGCTCTTCCCAGAAGTCCCTGCCTTTTGCCCGCCTGCCTCCATGTCACATGGCAAAGCCCACTCAGTGTTCACCTTTTACATATAATGCTTCTTTCCCACAAGTTCTTTGTTAGTGTTTCCTTGATCCCAGAGCTTATAAAGTGGTTTTGCAAGTGTTGGCATGCCTGTGTCTTTCAGTAGACTGTTGGCTCCTTGGAGGTAAAGGTGGTGTCCATGTGTTTCTTGCCTTCAGGAGGTCTGGCTCAGGTGCCATCTCACAGTGAGGTATTAGTGGTGTGGACAGAGTGCAGGAAGTAAAGTCTTCAACTCAATCCAACCCTCAGTGGCCAACTCACAGAGCACAGTGGGTGTCCAGGACATACCCTGGGACAAGCACATACACAAAAGACTCCTGCTCAGATTGTCTGCCCACATCATGTGTCCTCCACATCACAGGGCCATTGCCTTTGTCACTCTGCCCTGATTCACTGGCCTGTCTTTGAAGGTCACTCAGCAATCTGTTCTCCTGAAACCCTGCTTTGGCCCATGACACCTTCTGGGGTAAGGAGATACCTCTCCTTAGCCACTAGTCTTAGGATCTTCTAAGCAGACCTACTTCACCAGGGAAGACTAGAGAGATGGGAGCCCTTCCTGCTCATCAGTGGAATTCCATGGCATGCTAAGCCAGGCCCTGTCAGACAGATAACAAACACAGGCAACAACCCATGGCTGCTGGGTTGGGAGGCTTGGTAATAGATTGTGGCAGGGTCAGTGGGGGTTGGGGGGGATGCCACTGACTGATCCTGGTTGTCAACAGTGGCTGAAGCCACAGCAATAGAACTTGGGCTCATTTTGCAAAGCCAAAAGTTCAGTGATATTTCGTAAAATTCATTAACTTAAAGACCTTGATAAAGCTGAGGTGATGGTGGCAGGTAGTATTTAATGTTGCCTCTAGCTTTTGTCCCCCACAGCAATATTATTTCCTAATACTATTTCAGTCTCATTTTTCTGCTTGTGCTAAAATGCCAGTGCTCAAAAATATGTCAGAAGCTCATCAGATGATCAGGGTAGCTTTTAATTACGATAATTGTGTTGTTATAAAATATCCTTTTAAAGAACACATCCCTCCCCAAGCCACTGTGGAGATAAAACCCTGCTTCCTTCCAGCAAGTTTAATGAATAATTCTGAATCATTGTGTGGGATGAATAAATGATTTAATAATGAGCATCAACAATCATCTCCCATTGTTGCATTAATTTTTGTAAATGGGATGAGGTAAATGAGGAGGAAGGGCTGTCACCATACAATAGACCACCATTTGTGTAGGAATGTGCTCTGTGATCCCAAAACCAAGAGCTTCCAACCTCAGGTTTCCCTAGAAACGGATGCTTCCTATTTCTACTTTTGAAGTCAATAAGGTTGGGGGGGGCAATTCTTTGTGTGGTACAAAAACATTGTCAATAACTAGCAGAAATAAACAGATATCAGGGCAGGACAGATGCACAAATGAGAAGCAACACCGGTTATTTTCTGTCTTCCTTTGCTCTGCCTGAGGATAATCAATTTCATCATATCCAACGGATGTAGAAATTGCTTTTCCCCTTAATTCACCTGCTACCTCGTTGGAGTTGCAAAGACAGATCTTAGATAATGAAATCGGGCAGAAGCTGGACATCATCTTGTTCCTCAGGCTTTTCTCCACAGAAGGTTAACATGTGACCCAGTTAACATGGATGCAGTTTAAGAATTCAATCTTCAAACAAACAAACAAACAAAAACAGAACCCTGGCTTTTTAGCTGCCCATGTTTCCCTTTAAATGTCTTGATAGCTTTTCTTTCCCCCTCATTCTCAGCACAGAGCTTAAGGACTGTGTAATGAAGAATTTGGAGCACATTTGGCAATTATGATAAATTCCAACAAGTTGATCTTTCCTGCAAAAGTTAAGGGGTAATTTCACAGGCTAGTTTCATCTCTAGCATTTGTGTGCTTTTTAACAAAGAAACAGAAAGCAATGGTGGGCTCTTAGCCTTTGGTTTTGGTTTTAGGATTTCAAGTTTTTAAAGAATGAAGAGGTCAAATTTCCAGGGCCATACTATAGGAAGATGAGAGAATGTCAGGTCTCCTCTGTCTCACCGTTGTACTGAAGCTGTTGATATCCCGATGCCACCAGGAAGTAAGGTCCCTGCTGTGTTCACAGGTGGAAATCCAGCCCTGAGCCGAGGTTGTTCCTTGGTAAATGATGGTATATTGGTGAGCAGGGACAGAGCCTAGCTTGATTCATGTCGCTCTCTCAGCTGCATCACTGGTGATGTTCATAGAGCCTATAATGGTCAGCTGAGTTCTAGATGGAAAACCCACTGCCAAGAGCACTGCTGCTTAAACTGGGCCATGCCAACATACCCATGGGCTATGCAGTATGGGCAACTAAATGTGGACTTGAGCAAACAGGAAAACATTTCTGAACTCACATTAATCAAGATTTAACTCAAAATCAAGCCCATCACAACTCAGTTGGTGTTGTGTTGCACTGGAGTACACTGCATCATTGCAGCTTTAGTTCTGAACACTTAGCCAGGCAGTGGTGGAGCATGTCTTTAATCTACAGAGTGAGTTCCAGGACATCCAGGGCTATGCAGAGAAGCCCTGACTCAAAAAAATCAAAGACAAAAAGAGTAGCTGAATATTTAATGTGTGCATTTAGTGCATTTAGTACTATACAGGCTAATTTCATCTCTAGCATTCAACACTGGCAAATGCTACTACCTGCTAGATTATTATATGTTATGAACTGCAGGGCATTTTTAAATGTACACACAAAGTGTTCTGCTCTTGTAGAAACATAATAGCTTAATTGCAGAAAACAAAGATGATCGTTTCCTACATTCATTCCTTAGCATGTAAGAACCAAATGAGTGTATCTTTGGATGATGTTATGCAAGCATGTTTTATTTTAAAAGCCGTTGTTTGAGTTGCCTTTAAAATATGTTAATGGTTTTGGGTTGCTATTAGAACAGAATTTATAATAATTTCTAAAACATCCATAAAAGTGTGCTTCTGCCTTTTCATACTTCATATTTCTGTGTGTTGACATTCTTAGCATTGTAGTTACAAAATCAAAATATCCACTCTGCAAAGTGCTCTGTAGTATCAAATATATA